TGTTGAGAAAATTCACAACATTTCTTAATTTTCACAACTCGTATGAATTTTCATAACATGATTGTTAATTTTTACAACACCAGTTATGAAATCACGCATGTTATTTAAATTAATAACAAAAATGTTATGAGTTTTAATAACATTTTTAACAGTGGCTTCTAAGGCCCGCCCTATTTGGCCCCGGCTAACTCGTCAAGGAAAGTACGTCCTACGAGAGTACAATTCTCAGAAGTTAAATTCGAGGCAAATAAAAATATGGGAGGAAGGGGAAGGGCGAGCGCGGCCGACTTGGCTCGGAGAGAAAAAGCTGCTGACCCCTTATGTAAACCCAGAAAAATCGTTTCTTGTTTCAAGTACATTTGTCCTTGTTTCAGGCTGACACAAGGTCAGATTTACTCTTAAAACAGGCTGATATTTTCTTTCGTATACGATAAAAATCTTATTGCATTAAGAGCAGCTTTTTTTTTTTAAGAAAAACGAGGGGCAACATCGAACCTTCGCAAAAAATCTGATTTTTTTTTTCTGAGGTTCGTATAGACCATTCCGCTCGTGCCTCTCAAAAAACAAATGCACCGGAAGTCGGCTATTTCAAAACGAAATTTAGCCTACCTAGAGCACTAGAATCTGTTATAAAGTGACAAACTAGTTCTCGTCGGAATTAATTCATGACGTTTGTACAATATTTTGATATTTTGGCATCATAAGACCTCTGGAGCCGGTTTTAGGTGACTTCCGGTGCATTTGTTTTTCGAGACTATCGCGATTAGCTGTTCCAGCGGAATAGTCTATTATACCCCTACACAACATATCCAAGTTTGATCCCGCCCGATCGGACATCCCTACGTGAAACGGCAAGAGGCGCAAGTTTCGCCTAACACTTTTTGCTTGTTTTCGTGTAAAAACGAAATATCTCATTAAATCTCGCCCCTTGCAAGTTCTGGACAAAAGCGTAGTGGTTTCCGAAGTAAAATAAGCTGGGGAATCCGAATCAGCTATCGGTTTTACGACCAGGTGAAGTTTAGGGCTCGATATTAGGTAAAAGACACCATTTGCAGAAAAATGCCCAAATCTTGGGGTTCCCATGTTCTTTTCTCTCACGGTCAAACTGTAGGGAAAGGACCAAAGTAACGTGTGTTGGCCATGGGAACCGTCTTACGCTGCCCCCGGGGTCTCCAGGGGCAAAAAACAGCAAAAATGGTCATTTTGGTGACAATTCAGCTTACATTTTTACGATGCACCTCGACCCTCTCCGCATTTGTTGGCTCTGTCCCTCAAAGTTAGTTCCTAATAAGACCCCTTTCCCTGATTTTTCTGGGTGCTGTAGCTCGAAGGGTTCCGAAAATATCAGCATTTGAATGTTTTATTTTGAGTGTTTCGGCTAAAATGTCGAAAATTTGCATTTTCTGGAGCTAGGACTGTCCAGGACGGCAATCGGCCACTAGTCTTCACAAGTCTACCTCAAAAATCCGTTCCTGCAGAAGAATTGCGATATTTAAACTCCTTATTCAAATTTTGCCTTAAATTAGCCTTTTTTCAGTAACGACTCCTAACTTTTTACAGGCCACCAACGACTGACTTCCCATTCGATTTTTTTTTCTGTTTCTCAGGCTCAATAGATATTTCTTGACGAGCTTTTTCGACAGCAGCCAACGAAAACAGTCGTACCGGCCACCGGCCCTTACTTAGGAGCCCGACAAAAACGGGGAAAAACGCAAATTTGCCCCCAAAATCTGGTGTTTTGGGGAGTTTTGGTGTTAGTTTATGAGTATGTTCCGCACTAGTTACGGGGCTTATCATCAATGTGCTTCCTGTAGGCCTTCCACGTGCTAAAAAAACATAAAAATCATCAAAACTCAAATATTTTTAATGTTTCATTGCGCTCTGAAAAATAAAATATAAAAAATAAAATAAAACCTTCAAAAACTTCAAATGCTGATATCTCCGGAACCCTTTGAGCTACAGCGCCCAGAAAAATCAGGGAATGGGGTCTTATTAGGGACTAACTTTGGGGGACAGAGCCAACAAATGCGGAGAGGGTCGAGGTGAATCGTAAACATGTAAGCTGAATTGTCACCAAAATGACCATTTTTGCTGTTTTTTGCCCCTGGAGACTCCGGGAGCAGCGTAAGACGGTTCCCATGGCCAACACACGTTACTTTGGTCCTTTCCCTACAGTTTGACGGTGAGAGAGAAAAAGAGTACGTTGAAGAACACAGGAACCTCAAGATTTGGGCATTTCTCTGCAAATGGTGTCTTTTACCTATCGAGCCCTAAACTTCACCTGGTCGTAAAACCGATAGCTGATTCGGATTATCCAGCTCATTTTACTTCGGAAACCACTTTGCTTTTGGCCAGAACTTGCCAGGGGCGAGATTTAATGAGATATTTCGTTTTTACACGAAAACAAGCAAAAGGTGTTAGGCGAAACTTGCGCCTCTTGCCGTTTCACGTAGGGATGTCCGATCGGGTTCAAACTTAGATATGTTGTGTAAGGGTATAATACGAACCTCAGAAAAGTTTTTAGATTTTTTGCGAAGGGTCGATGTTGCCCCTCGTTTTTCTTTTTTTAAAAAGCTGCTCAAATACAATATTGTTTTGTTTCAATGGCAAATTTCGGCGAATTTCATCTTGTGCCAGCTTGCACTTGAATCAAAAAACTATTTTTCTGGGTGTATGTATGCTTAGGGCTAGTAGTGCTTTGTGTAAATGTAAGGTTGTAAGGTATCATATGCTAAAAGCTCGTATTCCACGCGAACATAATAATGAGGATTGCGACTGAATCTTTCGGGCGCCAGGATCACTAGGAGCACTGGTCCCCTAGGGCGCCGCCGGCCGGGCGGAGCGTGTGTGAGCATAAACTAAAATTGCATCCTTGGGTACTTAACTCAATAAAAGTACATCGACCATTACATCAAAATAAAGGTGAAAGTGTGAGGATTACAACGGTATAGTTCCTCATGTGATTGAAGGCATTGTACTCGATCAGAGCCGTTTGGCAAAATGGGCTGTTTTCTGAAATCACAAGAGCTTTTTTAACCCGTATTTTCTCATGCAAGGAGACGAGCTATCAACCTACATAAAGCAAGCCGATTTTCCGCCTGACTTTAAACTTTACATTCCTTTTTGCCGCACTTTGATCTTTGATACGACTTCTGGTTTTCGAGAACGAAGCTCATATATGCGTGCATGTCGGGCCGGCCTCGCGGCCCGGGCGGGCGCGACTCATAGCGGCCCGTAGCGGGCCATAGCGTCCAGCCGCAGACGGCTGCGGCCCGGCCCGACATGCGCGTAGATATGAGCTTCGTTCTCGAAAACCAGAAGTCGAATCAAAGTGCGGCAAAAAGAAATGTAAAGTTTAAAGTCAGGCGGAAAAACGGCTCGCTTTATGTAGGTTGATAGCTCGTCTCCTTGCATGAGAAAATACGGGTTGAAAAAGCTCTTGTGATTTCGGAAAACAGCCCATTTTGCCAAACGGCTCTGATCGAGTACAATGCCTTCAATCACATAAGGAACTATACCGTTGTAATCCTCACACTTTCAACTTTATTTTGATGTAATGGTCGATGTACTTTTATTGAGTAAAGTACCCAAGAATGCAATTTTAGTTTATGCTCACACACGCTCCGCCCGGCCGGCGGCGCCCTTGGGGACCAGCGCTCCTGGCGATCCTGGCGGCCGAAAGTTTCAGTCGCCATCTTCATCGGGAGGACTTTCTGCAGGCCGCGGGTCGACCCCGGCTTACGGCTCACAGTCTCGATTCCGCGAGGGCCTCGCGTCTTGCATCGTTGCTCGTCATGCTGCCGGTAGCCGCCTCCATGGCAGCCCTGGACGCTGAACCTTTCCACAGGGCGCTGATGCGAGCTGCAGGTCCTCCCCTGGGCCAGAGTGTGACGCCAGGGAAGCGGCGGGTGATTTTAGGAGCATGGATCCTGACGTGCTTCTTCGTGAACATAGTGTTCCAGGTAAAATTATTGAGACGGGTGCTTGTGGCGTTGTTAACGTTGGCTTAAACGGTAGCCACAAAGCAGAAAGTTATGCTTTCCCCTCACTGTGAGAAATATATTTGTACATGTACGATATATTTTGTAATTTGCCATTTACAATACGAGTCGTACATGTACAACCTCCCGCTGTCGCTCGATATTCGATTCCAAGTCGATACATAGGGCGAGTAAATTGTACAATTTTAGATTGTACTTGTACGACTTCTTCCATGGAAAATTTTCCTGTACCCGGTACGACAATTTTTCACAGTGCTCAGAAGCGATAAACCAGTAATCAAGAGACGCACACCGCAACACCAGACCAAATCACCCTTTTAACGTAGACTATACCGTACCGTTAGTTTCCATAACGTCTGCAGGCCTGGCACCGTCTGGATGGCTATAGCATTGTCTGTGTGCAAAGTGTAATGTGTGCAATCCTCAGCTAATAGTGGGCTTAACCAGAAAACTTAGTTTACAACCGAACATTTCAAATCAGAGTGTGATACTGACTGCACGTTTTTTGTGATACCGAAATATTGCACGATGTTGTGATGATCATCGCAGAAAAAGTATAACATTAAATTCATTCCTTAAATTTGTGATGACCATCACTTACTTCAGCGACACTTCGATGTATCATAGTTTTGTGCAACATGCGTCACACCGTTCTGAGATAAACCCAGAATCATCGCATTATTTTGCAAGAAGTATCACACAATTTTGTGATAAAAATTCATCATACCCTAGGAGTAATAAATCAGGGGAATCACACAGGAAATTTTATCACACGAAAATGTGTGATAAGTATCACACTTCGAATTACAGTGAAAATGCGTGTTGTGGAGTGAACACGTTTTACTTTTACCTGATTTCGAGGTTGAAAAATATTTAACTCCTCGCCAATCCGATGGTTGACATTGACAGCAAACTTTGTTGAACCTTTCAGGGTGGTAAAACTATAAATCAGAGTGTGACACTGACTGAACGTTTTATGTGATACCGAAATATTGCACGAACTTGTGACTTGTTCCCAGAAAATTAAAACATTAAATTTGATGCATGTATCTGTGATGACCACCACTTAATGTAGGTGATACTCCTGGTAGCACAAATCTCTGCGATTTGCTGAATGTTCAGGGAACCTACATTACATTCTGGGAAGGTTCTTGGAGAGTTTGGTTCTACAAGGGTTTTAGGTATCTTAGTTTTGTGCGAACAAACAAACACACAAACAAACAAACAATTGTTTTAGTTTTAGGTCATCGACTTAACTAGCTCAGCTACTGAACGACATACGGTGTGTTTTTTTTTTTTTTTTTTTTTTTTTTCAGCAAATGCTTATTTCGTCATGCAGAATAGATTTTATCGAGGGGGCCACCACTTCGATTTAAGATGTACACAGGATTACGTGATTACAGGGAATACACGTGAATTTTGAGGGATTACACATGCATTTTGTTGAATTTCTTGCTCTAAAACCATTCAATTGGGACAGAAAGGTGAAATTTAGTTATAATATTTTAAAATTTGGTCCAGTAGTACACGTACTACACAAGGACTACATAGGGAAAACACCATCATCTGTACACAGGATTCCGCGAGTGGTGGCCCCCTCGGATTTTATTCTTTCTTGGTGTTCTCTACAAACCTTTAGTGATTTCTATCGGTCTCATTCCAAAAATCCCATGCGCTACATGGAATTCCATTTACACTATTCCATGGCAGAGGGACCGTATTCCATGTGTAGCTGCTCACTTTCCATGTGGAGCTTCTGTTACACTAGCTATATGTACGCCAGACCACGTCTCGCGTAACAGGCTTCGCGATATCTCACGAAACACTGTAACGCTGCGACGCGCCTGGCGCACATATAGCTAGGCCTGCGGCGCTGACACCCGAGACGAGTTAAGGAGAGGGTACAGGGGCACAGGGTCTTCCGGGCCCAAAATTTGACATACTCGAACCGTTAGTGGGGGTCTTCTTACTCTAAAATTAGGGACATGAAACTTCTGCTGTTCGGTAACTGTTTTCATTAAAAAATCGTATATTGTCAGATTTATGTAAAAATCAACGTTTTAGTGATAGTAGATAATATAGGGACCCTTAAGCCCAAAAAAGGGTGTGGTTCGACCCGTAACGTGTTGTCCAAGTATTACTCCCTTTACAATTCAGTGATATGAAGGCTTTTTTACGATTTAATAGACCATTTTGTCTTTTTCACGTTGTTTTCGCCAAGAAATGCCCCATAGCGTCGAAACGGTACAATATAGAGCAAAACGGACGAAATTTTCGCCCGTAGGGTTCTACTTTCACTAGTTACCCATTAGGATACCATAAAAAAATATTTGAAAAAATAATATTTTTTCACCTCTGGTTATTGATTTTTTAAAAAGTCAATTTCTGAGCTAGAATGCTCATCTTCGAACTCGATCTGTCTTTTTGTGATACAAAACGACCCTGAAAATCCCAGGTCGCTATCTCAATTCTTTCTCGAGTTATCGTGCGTACAGACGGACAGACAAACAAACAAACAAACGGACAGAATGAAACTTTTCTGGTCAGTGGAGTTATGGGCTTCGCTAATCGCTCAGCCAATGAGGAAGCGGCGTGGCCCTTCATGGAAATTAATATGTCACCATGAGGTCGGAACTAGCTCGCCATGGAACGTATCATGAGGACAGTGCATATGCAACCATGGTGTCCATGGTGTGACTTTCGCCATGGTGTTGGTCTTAACTCCATGGGAAAACGAATTCCCATGAAAATCAAGAAAGCTGTAAACTCTGTGTTTAATTGAATATTGGTCGAAAATTTTGGGTCTAGCACCTCGGTCGAAATTAAGAAAGGCCGTTTTAATTTCATTGAAATTTGAGCACTCTTTCCTGCAATCTCGTAAACGGCCTTAGCTATGTGGAAACAGATAGCGGATTCGGCTCCGCCTCAGTTCTGACACCCCGAAAGTATGCTTCGTTATCATCTGTGAGAGACTAACTCTTCGACGCGTCCGTGCAAGAATATCCTATCTGTTTCTGTTAAATTATATAAATTGTAACAGACCATAAAATGCAACTTAACAGCTTGACATTGTTTGAATATTTATTTGGTTATTTCTAGCCCTGCAGAAGGAACCGGAGCCTTCTATGTATGTAACACTTTTCAATATCAAAAGTCTGTCTGCAGCCAAAACCAGAGCAGTCAATCACCATGTACAAACAGAAATTGTCATGAATCATGCTGTGTCAACCAGGAAAATTATTCACACATAGAAAGTACAAAAACTGCTCAGTTCTGTGTGGATAGTGGTGCTACTGCAGACATGACAGACAATGTCGAGTTATTGGAAGATCCAGTAAAAAGAATTAAAAATATCAGAGTTGCCAAGAAACAGCAAAGCATGCAGTCCTTAGCCATTGGTAGGGGATAACATCTTAATAGTACAACATAGAAAATGTTCGTTTTGTTCCAGCAATAACAAGGAATCCCATGTCTGTGGCAAAGGTGGCGAATGAAGGGCAGGCAGTGATATTTTTGAAAGGAGTCAGGATTCTCAAACGTGACGTCGTTTGCAAGAGGATAAATTTTGAGAGGGAACAGAACCTCTCAAGGTCCTTTTGTTATTCACATACGTCGTTATCACAACAGAAGCAACTGGTTCCGACACTGCTGAAGACATCGTCAAAATCAAGAGGGTCTTGAAAGTCACAGTTATCCTCGGAATTTTCTATTCATCCTTTCTACATCCAGAAATGAGCACTCTGCGTGCCTTCAGTGATCCAGAGACTATGCCCAAACTGGAGAGGAAGATAAAAGATTGAGTACTACGAGTTATACTCTCCTTTTTGCAGGTAGACCAATTAGTTCCCAGTCTCAAAATCCCATGGTGCTTTCCATGACCCATGGGTTGTCATGGAACGTCATGGAACAAAGGAGAACTTTCCACGTATTTTTTGCCGCTTTTCCATGAGTGTTTTTCCATGGGCATGTATTGAAACTCCATGGTGTTGGTCTCTATGCAACAATACTAAGCCCATGGACAACTTTACCATGGTAAAGCAAAGAGCAGAGTCTGTTGCTTAAGTCAAAGTCAGTCTTATCGATGATTACGAAGCATGTTTTCGGGGTGTCAGAACTGAGGCGGAGCCGAATCCGCTGTCTGTTTCAACGTAGCTACGGCCGTTTACGAGATAGCAGGAAAAAGTGCTCAAATTTGTATGAGATCAAAATGGCCAGACTAAAATTCGACCGAGGTGCTAGCCACAAAATTTTAGACCGATATTCAATTAAACAGATTTTACAGCTTTCTCAACTTTCACGGGAATTTGTTTTTCCATAGAGTTGAGACCAACACCATGGCGAAAGACACACCATGGTAGCATATGCACTATTTCCATGATACGTCCCATGGAAAGTTAGTTCCGACTCCATGGTGACATAAATTTCCATGGAGGGCCAAGCTGCTTCCTAATGGGGAAGAGGCTCCACATGGAAAGTGAGCAGCCACACACGGAAAACGGTCCTTCTGCCATGGAATAGTGTTCATGGAATTCCATGTAGCGCATGGGATTTTAGGACTGGGAGGCTTCACACAAACAGGCAATAGTCGCCACCTCGCGCCACTGCCGCTTCAGAAGCCGAATACATAGCGTCTGCTGAATGTGTAAAGCAGCTTCACCAGTATGTCAGTACGTTGTTTTTGGAAATGACAGGTAGTAAAACTCCTGCACTTCCTCAAGAAGACAAACAAAGTGCCACATGTATCATCAAGACAGGAAAACTAAAGAAGAAATCAAAACACATTTATGTGAGATACTACTTCACTGATGAAAAGTTTGAAGAAGGGCTTTTCCAACTTGTTTACTGCCCAACCGAGGATCAACTGGCAGACATCTTCACCAAGCCCCTTCATGTCAACAAATTTACCAAATTCAGAAATATGTTAATGCATTAGAACCTTTCAATTTTTTCTCTCTGTGTTAGTCTAACCATATTGCCAAAACTTGTCTCATTCCAGCTTCCTCATATCCTCACCGCATACTCACGAGTCATACCGATTCAGTATCGATACTGTTTTTTTGTTTTAAAAGCCGTGATTTATTTTTTGTTAACAGCATGACATTGTTTGAATATTTATTTGTTTATTTCTAGTCCAGCAGAAGGAGCCGGAGCCTTCTATCTATGCAAGAAATATCTTTTGTTTTTATTATTCTTGTTACTCTTCTTTTGTGAACACTCCTTTCATTCTGACTGTAGGACTCACCCATGAACGTTCTCGTTACTGCTTTACTTTTGTGTCAATAAACCTGGTGTTCAGGAAAACCTATCCAATGTTATCCAATCATTATGATCAGATCACCGCAATTACGTATTTATTTATCGTACACAATTTAACAGTTTTGCTGCCCCGAAACACTAGCCTATCTGTTTCGCTGCCCCGAAAAACTACACTGTAGTTCGAATTATTGTGATACTTTTCACATATTTTCGTGTGATAAAATGTCCTGTGGGATTCCGATGATTTATTCTCCTGGGGGTGTGATGAATTTTTATCACAAAATTATGGGATACTCATTGCAAAATAATGTGATGATTCTGGATTTATCTCAAACGGTCTGATGCATATTGCACATAACTATGATACATCGAAGTGTCGCTCAAATGAGTGATGGTCAGCACAAATATTAGCAAAGAATTTAATATTACATGTGGTTGTTGCCCCTTTAGCCCCAGAATAGGCTCGCATGGTGTATTGCTGTGTGCGTCACATGCCCGTGCAGTTGAGTAAGAAAGTGTAGTGGTGTACATAAAAATAGAACGAAGAAATGAGTACGTCTAATAATGACATGGGTATTAAAAAATAAAAATTCCTTTGGCGGTGTAAAAAGGAGGGGGCGACAGGGGGGGCGATGCACTGTGGGTTGCCTACATACAGGGGTTTTGTAGCACAAATTGCCTACCTTTGAGGCGGCTCACTAGAGACGATGGGGGGGCGACAGGGGGGGCGATGCAATGTGGGTTGCCTACAGGGGTTTTGGAGCGGGCGATCGCCCCCCTCCCCCTTATACCGCGCCTGTTTCTTAAAAGGGTTCGGGATTCAGCGACAAGAACATGTTTTGGCCGTATGAGTTCTGTTTCTTTCATAACTTTTTTTAAAAAATTTCAGGCTAAACTTGACGTGTCGTTTACCACTACTCGCTCGTCCCCACCGAAAGAGATAAACTCCATGTCAAGGCTGCTAGCTAGCAACCTCACGATTGCATCAAAATTCGACCTACATTATGCCATAGCTGATGTTGTGCCTCCCAGACTACTGCATCGCGTTAAGTTCGTCCGCGAGTCAGAGACAATACATTTTGTTCCGGAAGCCGCGGCCCGCCGAGATGCAGCACTGGTAGTGTTCCTCTCTGACGCCAAAGTCATCACTACGCTGTATCCAGAAAGGTAGGAAGTAAAGCTATAGTGGTGAATCCTACAGCTACACGTGTTTATCGGAGCGCCGTTGATACCTCTGATCCCAGAGCGCTACCCCTCGCTGGGTTCTTAGAAGAGTCAGCCAGGTGGCAGCGGAAATTGCGAGGCGTCGGGGTGGGCGCACGGTATTAGGGGCCTCCTCCTAGAGGTTTTGATCACTGTAAATTAGAGTGTGATGCTGATTGTACTTTTTCGTGAGCGAAAAATATTGCACGATGTTGTGATGATCAGAACTTTTGTATTCCGGTCCTATACCAAAGCACACAGGTTAGAAAAATCGCGTAGGAAGGGACCGAAAGTTTAGATCTTCCTTAACAAAAAGCAAATTTTTTGGTGTCCGTAACTCCACTTGTTTTGGAGTTATGGCAGTTTGAGTATGGACGTGAATTTGATCCGAAATAGAGACATATAACCCTATTTCGGTTCAGCTTCGGATCAAGATGGTGGGTTTGCCATCTTGTAGCCTGACAGTAGTCGGCTCTAGAAGCAATCAAAATTTTGGTCCACAGTCCACGGGGTCTTCACTGTGATTCGAACTGTGATACTTTTCATACATTTTCGTGCGATAAAATTTCCTGCGTGATTCTCATGATTTATTACTCCTGGGGGTGTGATGAATTTTTATAACAAAATTGTGTGATACTCATTGCAAAATAATGTGATGATTCCGGATTTATCTCAAAACGGTGTGACGCATATTGCACAAAACTATGATACATCGAAGTGTTGCTCAAATAAGTGATGCTCATCACAAATATAAGCAATGAATTTAATATTGTACTTTTTCTGTGATGATCATAACAATATCGTGCAATATTTCTGTATCACATAAAACGTGCAGTCAGTATCACACTCTGATTTACAGTGTTAGAATTATTGCATGATCCGAAATAAACATGTGCACCTAACTCGGATCAAATGAAACTAATAATTAAGAAACGGACGAGCAGCACACTCGGCAGTAGTTTTTTAGTAGGATAAGAGAAAAAGACGTCTTATTCTTGACGTGCTGAAATGCCTATTGCAAAAGATATACAATTATGTTAAGGGTATTTCGACATAAAATGCAGTGAAACTGGCAAATATGGTCCTGGACTGTCCAGGTTGACCAAGTATGGCTACTAAACAACCCTTTGAAATATCCTGTGACAAACCAAAGTAATAGTGAGCACCAAAACACTTTCGACCATCATTAAATCGAAGCTGCTCGCAAAACTCGACCTAAGAATTTCATTCTTTTGACCTCTACCCGCTCTTTAACCTGACATGATGTTAGATTGAATCCACGTTTGAAACGTGTTCTCTGGGCCTTCAACTATACATTGGTACCTATTGGGTTGACGCGAAATTGTGCGTACATACGAAGTAAAGTCAATTTTAGCAAACCACAACATTTTTCCACCTTCTAAACGATGAATGTTAATGTTCAGCTCGAGCGCGCGGGCCGCTTGGACCGCAATTGGGCGAATCGATGGTATATTTTGGTAGAAAACGACAAACCTTACCGTCAAAAAAATTAAAATCCACACATTTTAGCGAGGGAGCGTTTGTAGGTCTATTCATCCGAATTAGGGGCTGATCCGAAATAGGTTTATTCAGTCGCTCTAAATTTATTGCACGTATTTGTGATGGCCATTACTTATTTGAGCAATACTTTGAGGTATCCTAGTTTTGTACAATGTGCATAACACCGTTTTCCAACAAAATGTGAAAAAAGTATTCAAATTTGAACTCGTGAAAGAAAAGTCTTCTAGGCACATATTGGAATTTTCCCATACATTTCTGGATGTTTACCTATACACTTCGTAATTTGCCTATACACATCTTCCCAAGTGCAAAAACACCTTTTCCAGTAATTCTCCCGTCCCGTACGACGCATAGAAAATTCCCCACAAATGCGTATGGCACAGTTCCCAAACGACGATATTTCTCACAGTGATAGTGGTCGTACAAGCAACTTTTCTGACTCCCAGGTTCCACTACTTCAGGCTCATGGAGACAGTCAGGACTTCCCTCTACTTCTCCAGAGGGTCACCTGCGGGACAGGCCATCGTCAGGGTCCTTGGCCGCTGGCTTGCCGTGGGCGCCCTCACTCACCAGCCGCAGCTGACAGCGCCTCGGAACAGGCGCGCGCCTCGGCCGCACGCGCCTCTGTCCATGCTTCAACTTGCGTTGCCTTTCCAGACCTTTGTAGGGGGGCTCGTAGTCGCACTAATCGTCTTGGTTGGGGAGCATTTGTATTCCATAAGTCACAGCCGCAAATGCAGTGTACTTCAATTCTACAAATAAACAGTTTAATTACCGACCAGCTGTCCCCACTGGGATTGACCACGGTCCTCGTCAACCGTCAAGAGGTCTCCTCTCCTCTCACTCAGGGTAGAAGGACAGGTGTCCGGCAAAATCTACAGTACCGTACACTGTTGTTTATTTGGCGAGTTACAGCCCCAGGTAGCAGACGTGCGCGTAGAATGCGCATTTTTGGCGCATTGATCAGGCGCGGTTTCATAGGGGGGCGAAGAGGCACCCCCCCCCCCCCCTTAAGGTGATATACAGATAGTTGGGCGCAAGCGAGCGTGGTGGGGGAAAACGGTTCCTTCCCGCCACTCCGCCGGCCAGTTTGAAATCCCTTGCAGGTGGTACAGGTAGCATAGGACCGGCTGGAGTCCGGGACAGCCCGGAGCTCGCTAATCCCTCCCCGCGCTGACCTGCCATTAAGTGGCGAGGGAAGTGGTTCCCCCAATAGGAGCGCTTGCGCCCACCTATCTACATTACACCCCCCCCCCCTGGATCTTTTCCAATGTACACACTGTAATTTTGAATGCGATACTTTTCACTCAAATCAGAGCGATACTTTTTGAAGCTGCGAATCCCAGGATTCATCGCAACTTTGAGAGCGATGATTCCTTATCTCAAAATTAAGCGATACAGTTTGCAATACTTTTTCATCGCACATATTGGAAATATTACTTGTGAAGCATATTGCAAGCACGAGTAATACATTTTCATCGCAAAAAAAGGGAATGAACCTTTTAATGCATAAAATTGTATAAAACTAATATTTAGCTGACCAAGCCTGGCAAATGAACAGGATGATCCCACAATAAAGAAAGATAGTTTTAAGATCAAAACAGACATTTTATTTAACTTTTACTTACTGATATAGCTACAGAGCGTATAAAAGTTAAAGGACCAAATGGGTCACCCGAATAACATACAACAAACCATATTCGATCCACTACCCCCTTCTTTGCTTCATTTTTTTATAGCCAACACTTGGATACCAAATTTTTCACTAGCTCATGATAAAGGATAATTTTATACAAGAAAATGAGTTACCAATTAAAAATTTGTCTAATCCCCCTTTTTTTTTTTTTTTTCAAACAGAGGCTCATTTGAGTGTGACCCTGTAGTTCCTTTTCATCACTGGCAGGCTGTGATGAGCGGGCAGTATTTCCTGCCTTTCTTACCCTTCCATGGCTAGTAGTACAACAAGATGAGCCCTCACCAGCGCCTGCAAAGACCTAGCTAGGCAACCGAGCGCATGCGTGCAATGCGGGACAGCCTACCGCGCAATCACAGGCGTTCGCCGCCTGCGAAGTGGAAGATAGGCCACCGAGCACGACGTGTGTGCAATGCAGGACAGCATACACCATTCCGCCACAGGCGTCCTGAAGGTGGCACACAGGCAGGCTGGCAGGCGGGCAGGCAGGATAGCAGGCAGGATAGCAGGCAGGATAGCAGGCAGGCAGGCAGGCAGGCAGGCAGGCAGAAGGACTGACTGGCGGACGGCCTTCCAGGTCAGCAGGCATTCAGTCCAGAGTCCAGCACATTTCAAGAAGGGTTCAAACAAAAGAGGCGTTGGCCTTCTTGATCTGGAAGAATGCAGAAAACTGATGTCTGAAAAATAAATAAATAAATATTATAACTCACATTTAAAGTTACTTGAAATTTAGGTGCATAGGTAGCTATTAAAAATATTCACCTCTGAATATTCTTTGTACACTTCTTTGAGCTGAGCTCACATTATCTTTGCATGTTTGAAAGTTCAAAATTTTGTAATCTTAAAAGTTAATAAACCATGAGTAAAGGACATTTCAGGAAGGGTTAAAACAACTGGTTGTTGGCCTTCTTGACCTGCACTAATGCAGAAAACTTATGTCTGAAAAATAAATACATCAATATTATCGTTCACAATAAATGTTTCTTGCAATTAGATTACATTAGATCCTTAAAAATATTCACCTCTCAACATTTAATATACTTGCAGACTTCTTAAAGAGCTCAAAAGGTTTTTGCATGTTAGAAAGTTCAAAATTTGGTAACATTGAAAGTTAAGTAACCATGAGACTTAAACCTGAAATAAAAATTAATGAAATAGATACAACTTCTTCATTAATAGAATATAAACTATAGAGGCTTACCTATAATTCTCACGGCCCGCTTAACAAAAATTTTGGATCTACTGATCTTTCCAAATCTTGCACCTGGTGTTGAGTGATAGCGTTTCCTGGAATGCCTGGAATAAAAACAACAAAATAATTACTTTCAAATATGAAAACCAGAAGAGTAGGATTTTTTTTGTTATTTACCTAAGACAGTAGCTGCCTGTGGCCAGGTGGGAGCACATACCACCTGTTCTGCCACCTTAAGCTGATAACCTTGTGTGGGTAAACTATTTTGAGGACATCAACAGTTGTTACTCTTTGGCTGCTTTCTACTTGAAAGGCATTCACATCCACAGCAAAACACACAGTTTTCATTTTGTGACAAAGGAATGCAAAGTCTTTGTAATTAACAGAATAAATCATTTTGACTCTACCTAATTCTGGGAATATTCTAGATTCAGTGAGTATGATGATACTCCCCACCTTATAGGAGGTACCATGGATTTTCAGCATTGAAAGTTCGCAGATTTTTGTTGCACTTGGGAACAATAACTTCAATCCTTCAGTATTTCGGTCAATAGTACCTGATATATCTTTCCTTACTGTAAATGTATGTCCCTCGTACAGAAAGTTATCTTCCATCATTAGGCGGCACTGTCTTGCTTGATGGCGGGTAGATATTGACTTCATAGGATCTATAAAATTGTGAAGAAGTTTCAGTAGTCTTTTGAAACGTGAATGGAAACCCTCAAAACTGAAACAATGCACATGACGGATTCCACCATACAAGATAATGAGTTCTGGCAAATGATGAAGGAAATGAACCTTGGCCATGTTTAACTCAGGTAGAATTCTCAATAACTTTTCATGGAAATCTTGAACTTTTTTGGCAAGCCGGGTACTATCTTCAGCTAAAAACTCGTAGGCAAGACAGAAATTCATGATTTGAGAGAGAAGCAAAAAGCAGTCTAGGTACTCCCTATCTCCAGCAAAAGGCCAACTTCCATTTTCTTGTTTCTTCTGTAGGGCAAAGGGCAGAACCAAAGACAACACCCTGAATTGAGCTGCACTTTCCCGAAGGAGTTTGTCTTGAGGCAGGTGATTCATTTGAATTTCTCCTAGTCTATCACGAGCAAAGTACTTTGAGCATTCAGCAATTTGTTGGTTGACCTGCAAAGTTAATAGATTCTAATGATAGGCTACACTAAAAATTAAACAACATTAAGAGCAACAAATAATCTTACCTCAAAGAGAGTTAGTGATTTCTTATTCTGGATAATATGCCTCAATAAAAGACGGCATGTCATCTCTCGGCAGCCCTCATTCAAAGAATGCATCTGGTCTTCGGGCAGTGCAATGGATATATTCAGATAATTCACATCCAGCAACACACTTCTGTAATTAACTCCATATTTTACTGATGGGTCATAACCATACTCTTTTTTCCGCCTTATTGAAGGTTTCATAATGTTCTATTTCACGCAGATGAACTAGATGTGATTCATGAGTGCGTGGCTCAAAGTTTTCAATATTTGTTTGCAGTAAATATTCTCCTTCATTCGATGCATTGCAGTGTCTGCAGGGTTCCCTGGGTGAAAAAAACATGGGGCTGTCCATGAGCCATGGACATAAATTTAACCATGGATTTTTCTGACCATAGATTTATGGAACCAGTAAACCATGAAAACAACAGTTGACCATGAGTATAGTGGATGGATTGCATGGCCATGGCTAATGTGCTCCATGGCAAGGGATGACCATGAGAATTGGCTTTCATGGTCACAACTAAGTCCATGAATGTGTCCATGGTTACTATTACTATTGTTATGTAGAACGTCCATGATCACACGTTTGGACATGATACTGTTATCAATGGACACAAATACCATGAAGAACTAATCAATGGCCAACTGTATTAGTAATGGACATGGGATGTTTTCCTCATGGTCTCTGTGTTCATGGTCTACGTTTATCATGGCGAGGGTTTGTGTCCATGGGCATGGAGTCATGGTCACAACCTTTGACCATTGGGACACGTCCATGAATACAACCTGGTCCATGACAAGCCATGCACCTAGGACCATGCTGAAACGATAGGTATGTCAATGTCAACGGTACTTTCCATGGCCACATCGTTTCATAAATCTATCGACAAGAAATGACCATGGCAAGAAGGCACAATGGTTCATGGTCAGAACGTGCCCATGGGAGCAGCTGGCTGCTAGCTGGCCATGGAATTGATTTACCATGGTCAGAGTGTCCATGGAAATTGATTTACATGGCCAGGGTTGTGGCCATGGTACGTGTGTGTTCATGGTCAGAGTGTCCATAGAAATTGATTTACATGGCCAGGGTTGTGGCCAGGTACGTGTGTGCTCATGGTCAGAGTGTCCACAGAAATTGATTTACATGGCCAGGTTTGTGGCCATGGTACGTGTGTGTTCATGGCCAAGGTTGTGAAAAAGGTCATATTATTTTTTCCAGCTCTTGCAGAAGCTGTGTCACTAGGTTCAACACCATTATGATACAGAACAATTGCCACGACTGGCCTTCCATTGTTTTTTGCCATTTCCACAACTTCGTGGTTTTGGTACACTGTACCATCCAACATCGATTTGAATATGTAAGGCTCAGAAATTTTTGGATTTTCCACACAGAATAAAACATCTTTGCAGTTCAACAGCTTTTGAAGTTGAGGCAGAAATGGAACTTGATAAAAGAAATCAACATCTTTTGTGATAATTTTCCCATTTCTTAATACTGGCTCCTGTTTCAACACAACTTTCTCTGGCATTACAAGCCCTGCATTTTGTTGAAGATAATCCAGAATCTCCTTACTGCTATCGACTCCCTCAAAAATATCGATTTCTTTAACATCATCTTACACTGTCATCGTATCATCCAATAGTACTACATCACTGTCGCCTGCTTTGTCTCGAATTAACTTCTAAATAAAAGAAAGGAAAAGATAAAGACGACAGTCGAGCAAAGAAAGATTCAACCAAAAATATGACTCATGGCAATGAAACAGGGTCATTCTTTGTGGGTTCAACGAA